CCGGGGGGGCCAACGGGAGCCGTGGAAAAGAGGAATAGGGGAGGAAAATGGCGGCTGGGATCCGCCTACCTGGTGTTCCTAGCTCGTCCTGGCTTGTCTTTCTTCTCTCCCTTTCCTTCGTCCTCTTTCGGCCCGTCTCTTTCGGCCCCTGCTCGCACCGGTGCTTCGGTGTCTCCTCACGCTCTCCCTGCCAGCTTCTCCCGAGGGGCACGTGCCGCCCCCCATTTCTTTTTCCTCCAGTTTCCGCCCCCACCTTCCTCCATGTTGTCACTCCCTGTCCTGGCGCGGACCCTGGGGTTATCCCCTGCTGGGGCCTGCGCCCCTCGCCTCTCAGGTCTTTTCTTGTTCGGCTCCTCGATTTCATGTCATTGCTCTGCTTATTTTTACATCGTCCCATTCCAGCTCTCCTCTGCCTCCATCCTGCAGCGTGGTTTATCTGTGTTTCCCCGTACCCTGTTTCATTTTCAGTGCTACAGCTTCCATCGTTGTGCTCCAAGCTGTTACGACAGAACTTACCCTACTTTAGAACCACGTTGATCCATTAGCATTATGCAGACTCCGTTTTTTCATTTGCATATGTTTTTTTTTTTTTCACTGCCAGTTTAAAAACACTGCTATTCCTTTTTGTTTCCTGAGATTTGCTTCTTCAGTGTTTTCTTAGCCTTTCCTAGCTGTAGTTCATTTTATGTAGTTTCTCTCTGGGATGCTTATTTTTATTCTGAAAGAACAAATGAGCTATTTATCTGTTACAAAGAGTTTCTAGTAGCAGGCAAGATGTGCAACTGCTATGTCTAACCACATGTTTGCATACTAGAGAGATGTAGAAGCACACCTGGCAACATGTATTCAAGGAAAGTTGCATGTCTACTTGTTTGGCAAATGCAGTAGACTCTAGTGACTGATGTGTTGAAGCTGCAGTGGAAACATTAATTGCAGTACTGTAGTTCACTGTAACCGAGGTGTTTTTCAGACTCTTGTATTATTGGTGGGAACTTTAGCTTCGTGGATGATGATTGTGCAGCATGTTGCTTGCAAATCCAAGTGGGCGAAATGCCCATGTAGGAGTAAAGATAATGCTAGGGCCTTAATAGTTTATATTTGTGAATGTAATATATAGAATTCAACTGGAGGACAGTATTGTATTGTATTTTTTACATTCTGGTTTCTGCCATATCCACGGGTCTATGAAACTGGTGGGAAAATTGTCCCTTTGTAAACAGTTACGAAACTGAAACGCTGCATTTAATGCAGTTGAAGCAAAAAGGGGAAGAGATATAAGAGGGAAGAGTGTTTGAGATCGCATCTCCAACGTGTATTAAAGCTTATATAAAAAGGCAGAAAGTCTTTAGGAGGGTTTTGAATAAGATGGGCTTTTACAAACAGGTTTGAAGATGGCTTTCCAGCCGTAATTGGACATACTCCGTGTACAGTGTTCTCACATTATTTTTCTCTTCCTAGAATGCCTAAGTCAAAGGAACTTGTGTCTTCAAGCTCGTCTGCCAGTGATTCAGATAGTGAAGTTGACAAAAAGGTGAACATTATATGTGGTTTATTACTACTGTATTAACTCTTACATTTCAGGCTGGGGTGAAGGAATTGTGTGAGCGTTACGTCACGACATGCATGTCATTCCATATCATTTATCAGATGCTTAACCCAAACCACCCCCCTCTCCCACCCCCCAACAACTACAACAACAACAAAAAAACCACTTCCCGAGATTAGGGTTTGGGTGGATAGGATGCTTTTTGCCTTGCAGTGAACTTTTTTTTCCTAAGTTGTGTTTTGCTCTCTTCAGGGTTTTCTGTATGATGTATCTTACTACAAGCTTCCTGGCATTTTCTGCTGCTTTGTGGCAAGTAATAGCAGGCTTCTGTATAAGCTGCCCCTGGTGGCAAGAATTTGGACTAATTTTGAGGACCTGTCCTTCATGTGCCACTTGCTTATCTTGTTTGCATGTTCTTTTTCTCTATTTCAGATTCCTACATTTACTGTAATACCATCTGCTAGTTTCTCACTTAAAAGCTGAGCCAACCTGAATGTCTTCAAGTTGATTAATTTTAACACATGTTGACCGTTTTAAATGTATAAATGGAGTGTTCCCATTTATTTTTAATAGTTATTTAATTTATAAGTGTGTATAAACTTATTAAACTGTATAAACTTATTAAACTGCATAAACTTATTAAACTGTTTTGTTGACAAACAAAACCAGAAAAAAACCAGTGAATTTATCTTTTTAAAAAATGTTAGGTGGTAACACAGACATAAGGTCTTTTAATGTAGTATGTGAAGAGACTTGATCTGCTTTACTGAACTGGTTCAAATGTGACTTGGTTGCACTTTGCAAATTAGGCATTCTGTCAGCTCTTAATATAAGAGAAAATGGTCAGGTGATTTTTTTGATAGGGAGCTGTATTCTTGAAAAGACGTAGTCTAACAGTCTGCTTTAGTGGGCAGTAGGGTGTTTGGTTTTTTTTTCCCCTGCTACAACCTCCTATATTTGTTGGAACTGTTTGTCTTTAAAGGAGGTTATCCACAATACGATTGTAGCAGGTGAGACTAATTTTTGGTATCTTTGTATTACTCTTTTTTTGGGATGGGCATGGTTACTATATAACCATTAGTAGAAATAGTAATTTTGTGGCATCTGTGGGTAATCGGATTTACCAGTGACACTGTCTGAATGTTTTAAAAACATGTTTAATTTATCATGCTATGAGCAGAGATTAGATGCTGATTTAAAAAAAAAATATTTCTCTGTTGGACGTGATTTCCAGATCCTTTCTTTATTATCTCATCTAGTGTTTTTCTTTTCCTAGAAGAGTTGTAAGCTGTCCTGCATTTTTTTGTTGCACTCAGAGGAAAGGAAGGTGAAACTTGAATCAGACTTCAATTTTTTTATTAAAACTACTGAACCAACAGTATTGGTGCGCAGAAAGAGTAGGATTTTTGAAATGTATTTTGATCTAATTCAGTTCTCCTTAAAGCCAAAATATCAGGTAAACTTTACTGGGAACAGAATTAGGCTCATTTGAAGTTTTTTTTTTTTTTAAATTCTAGTCTAAATGTACAGTATTGGATTTCTGCCTTCACAACAGGAAGGTGATAATGTGCATTGCATAGTAGTAGTTTGTGACCTCTAACGTAAACTTTTCTGTAACTTATATAATGAGTTGTGGTTCGTGCTTTTTTTATTCTTGCTCCAAGGCAAAGCGGAAAAAGCAAGCAGCTCCAGAAAAGCCTGTAAAGAAACAAAAGACTGGTGAAAGTTCAAAAGGCGCAGCTTCTTCTAAGCAAAGCAGTAACAGAGACGAGAATATGTTTCAGGTAAAATTGATGACTCTTAGAGCCTGGTTAAGGTAACATGTTATATCATCTTCAGTATAAATTTTACGAGGTCATCTGAGTATCTTGACAGCATAGTGCTTGGTCTCCTGAAGCCTTGGCCAAAGGAGATTATGATGCTAGCATGCAGATAGATGCTCAGAAAAAGCATTGTCAGATTTCAGCAGAGTAAAAGAATCCGAGTTGTAGCAGTTGGTCTAACCCTCGTGTCTTTGCCTGTGGTAACTCTGGGTAGTCATTTTGTCGGTAAATACAGCACTTACCATGAGTGTACTGTAAATATTAGATCAGGACTGTCTCTACATGGAAATGTTTTTTAATCAGGGCTCTTGAAAGAAAGGTTCTTGGAAACCGAAGTATGGACTCTTCATTCCTGTTTAACTAGGTCAAGGGCAACTTGGCTTCTGTATTATAAGACAGTGTCTTGGAATAAGTTTTGCTTGTTCCTTTGTTTTATGGTGCAGGTTTTTCTCACTGAACATCAGAAAGATTGTAATTTTTGACATTGTCCTTGTTTTTAAGATGGGATGAATATAACTTTCTCAGTAGCAAGATGCGTTTGTGAATTCAGGGTATTGCAGTTCCTGGGGTTAGCTGAGGCAATAGCAGTGTGTGCTGAAAGCTGTGCAAGAATACACGTAGCTCAGAATTACCTTTTTTAGGGGTGTGAATCGAGACTTACGAAATGCCTCTGACTAGAGCTGGCTGGAGGTACTTAAATTCATAGAGACTTTGATTGTCAAGTTTGTGAAAAGGTATGGGAGAGGTGCCTAGTGAGATGGCCCGAAAACTGAGTAAGGCAAAAGAAATGGTTTTGGGCTGTAGCTGTGCAAAGCAATATGGCAAAAAAAAATCTTTTCTAGAGAGAAGACCTGCTTAACTGATACTGTAACACAGGGCAGTTATTTTTAATGTATCAGTTCTCACTTTCCTCTTCACGTATAGTTGGGAGGGAGAGCTTCAGTTGAAGGCAATGCCTAGACTTCCCTATCAAAGGAAGGGTATAATATTTCTAGTTCTGCTGGGGCATGCTTTGAATTATGTAGGAAAAATGAGATTGTGTCTTCTACACCTTATGAGGTGAGCTGCAGTTAAAACTCAAAAAAACTCTGTATAAGCTTTATGCTATGTTTGTTCAGAAATTCCAGCCTTGGAGAAAGCTGTTAAGATTTTTAATACTCCCCTGATGCAAAAATACCCAAACCCTTTCAAATGAAAGCAAAAGTATTTGCATGCTCTGATTTCTTTCAACCTTTTTGACCTAAGATAATAAAAAGTTACTAAAAACAGATAGTGGAGGACTCCTATTAGTCTGATAAAGAACAGGATTCTTCCAGTGTTGAGTATAATGCAGAAAAAATATTTGAATATCACCTTGACCTAAAACCATCAGTGTTAGTCTCTGCCTGCCTTCTAGTTCATCAACAAAATTTTTTTTAGATCCCTTATTGTGTTATGTGAAGCATTGTCAGGTTTTTTCATGCTACATCAGCTTCTGTGCATTAACTAAGATGCAACTGTTTCAGTGTAGAAATAGCACTGTAGGTCTGAGGATACTTCCCCTCTCTCCCCCCTATCCAGGAGACCATGCTAGAAGATATAGTTGCATGTTAATTTTCTAGGTATGGTTTTGTTTGTTCCAGGACTATTAGTAATACTAGAAACTCTCCTTTCTGCTTTCCCATGGCAGTAAAGTGATCTCTGATGTGCTAGTGGTTTTGCAGTATAACTTACAAGTGTGGCTTCAATTGACGGGAAGCAGGCTGTAAAGCGTTCATAGGATAGCCAGAAGTTCTGCGGTGTCCATATTTTGTGTGGGAGCGGCAGCAAATGATGTGAGACTTAGAGGCTTGTTGTTCTACACCCTCAGGCTGTGTTTTTAAAGTATATAGGTTCCCTTCATACAGAGGTCATTGTGACTGCTGTATTCAGAAGATTCAGGATTTTCATAAAAATGTATGTTTTATTTTTGTTAGAGCCTGATGTTGGTGTAATGGTATTCTTGAAACTAATTATGAAGAATAGTATAAATGTAAGCAGAAGGAATTAATTCAGTATAAGAGACCAAGTGTATTTTACTTATTTACATGTCTTGGCCTTTTTAGGTTTTATAGGTAGCCTAGTATACTTCGGAATTTTTTAAAAGATTTGGCTGCAGCTGGGGAGCAGAAATTTATCTTACTCCCATTTGTGATGTATTACTAGAGGCCCTAAGGACAAGCATTATTCATGTTAGTGTGGAAGGGTTTAGTGTTGATACATTAGATTCTTGTCGGTGGCTTCAAGCCAACGTGAGCTCTGCATCCTGTGCTTTGGTTAGTTTGACAAATCCTGTTATCCACCTATGCCTGATTTGGATAAGGTTTGTTAATGCTGTCAGGATGCAGTATTAATGACTACCCAGAGTGGAACCACATGGCATGATCAGGCATTTCACTGAAATTGTTACTTCAAAAGTCGCCCATCTGTGTATTGTCCCACCTCTCTTGTCCTTCTCATTTTTTTTTTTTTTTAAACTTTGGGTCATACTAGCTCTTTGACTTGTGAGAAATAAGTTCTTCAGTTTCCAAGTGTAATGTCTGTATCTATCATAGGCTCTTGAAAGTAGGTAAATATGTAAGTTTTTGATGCTCTGGAAAGATGATTGGTTTAGCACATTAATTCTGAAACTTAGGTGGTCACCGATGCGTTTCACAATTGATTTGCTGTGTTGCAAATCTTACTGCTTACAGGACTCTTTATTGTGCTTCTCCTAATGCTATACATATAGTTATCAGCTAAGAAAGAAGGATGCTTTTTTGCTGTTTCTACTTCCACAGTGTGTATACACTTTAATCAAGACAAACTGGAAATAGGAGGAAAGACAGTGAAGAAGTTTGTTGCCGAAACTCATACAGGAAGTCAGTTGTATAGCTGTGAAAGGAAATGAGACACAGTTCAGTGCATTTTATTCTAAGAAACAAAAACCTGGAAATAATGCTTCTAAAGTCTTCTAATATCTGTAATTCAATAGAACAGTGTAATCTAAGGAGGTGTAATATTTAATAAAAAGCACATGAACTTGTCTGTGAAGGTTCAACTGCGGTAACGATGCAGTGATAAGTCAATACAGCCCTTGGAACACTACTGTGGTTATGGAGATACAAAGGTGTCTTAGATCAGTGAAATTATTCTAGGGCTATCAGCTGCTGTGTGAAAAAAGAACTGTTCAGAAATGAATCTGTGCCAGAATTGCAGGTAACTGAACATCAAGAAACATCAATTTTCTTAAATAGTTAAATTTAGATTTGGCTTGAGGTTTTTAACCTTAGCTGTTAATTGAAACTGTACTTTAGAAGCCTGTTTAAAGCTTTGAGCAGTGGCAACTGTTTTGCACAGAGTTCAACTAAACATTCAAAATCTAATGTGCACATTCAGCTGAAATCTAGACAGTGATGTAAAACCTGACTTAATTTCAGCATTTTCATATGGAACTGTTTCCATTTAATGTAGACTTACTGATTGAATAGATGTGAACTTTGCATTATTGCCCCTTGCCTTACTGTAGTTGAATTAAGACATACAGTCTTATCCTTAAAATTCAAATCCTAAACCCTTGCACTGTATTTGCAGCTGTAATCTGCTATATTGTTTTAGACTTTCTTTCTCTAGAGCAAATCTGGAATTACTTGGCAATGCACTAATAGTCTTTGATAGCTCTGGAAACAAAAAGTGTTGTGGAGTACTACTACTTGAAGCTGTGCTTAGAGGTGACCTTAAAACTCACTGAAGCATTGAAGGGTAAAACCAAGAAATGTTCATGTAGGCTATTTGGGATATTCTTTGCCAGCAGTGCTGACTGACTTGGGCGTGGTACCACACGTGATCTGAAAGAACTAAGCTACTGTGACATCATATCTTATTTCTGCATGTTAAATTTGTACTACTGTGAAAGTCTTTAATAAATCAATCGAAAAATATTGTCTTATAAACTGTAATGTCTTGTTCATTGTAAAGGATGCTTTGAAGTAGGAAAACTGCTTCAGGCTTACGGTATCTAAAGATGCCCTCGTGGTTTTAAAATCAATGGAAGGTTATTAAATTGCATTAAATTGTATCACAATGCAAGATGCATAAACTAAGGAAGTTAAAAACTAAAGTTAATGTTTTATCAGGAAGGAATATTCTATCTTAAAATTGTTTACTTTAGAATGTGTTCTTTCTTCATTAAGTGTATCCAGAAGGTGCATACAGAATTCTAAGAAGTTCTTACATGAACTGTATTTGATTGTGTTTTTATTATCTGATTTCTGATTCTCAAATTCACATTATACTTTGAATTTATGTGAACAAATAGTTTTATATCAAATTTGGAAAGAACTCTAATGAGCCTAAATCTGTAAATGCATGGTTGTCAGTGCGACTGCTTCACTTTCCCTGTGCTCCCCTGCCCTGCCCCCCCCACCCCAAAGCACCCTCATAATTCAGTTAAGCCACTGTGGTGCAGAAATTACGGAATTCCAAAATCATTTCATACTATGGTACATGCTGGTAAACATAAAGGATTTGAATGTTTTTTTGGAACACCTGATATGGTGATAGTCTTTTAACCACAGTTCCAATGAAGTGCCATGAGGACTTGGGAGTAGCCATGGGACAGCTGGTGGCTAACTTTCATTTCCATCTGTATTTACTGTGTTTAAAAAAAATAATAAAAAAAAAACACCAAACAAAAACCCCTCTAGAAATTGTGGTAGTCTCATGTTAATATCTAAGTTGCTTTCTGTACATGTGGAATGGACTAAAATTTAGATTTGCGAGTAGAGCTCCCTCCTTCCCTGTTTACAACTGCTGCAAACAAAGGTGGTTATAATAGAGGCAAAATTTTATTTCAGAAAACAGTAAATTAGTGGCTTTTCTAAGAAGTAAGCGTGTTAAGAATATAGGTATTTCTATTCTAGGAGAGGTACTTTTGCACTGTGCATTGAATGCTCAACTCATTT